TGATCAATCACTGCTGTGTCTTGAGTACTACCCATTTGCACAAAATATTTCTGATTCACAATTTCATTAACAATGCGTGACTTCATAATGCTTCGGATAGCTGACAGTATATAGTTCACGGTTGTTTTGGATAACATTAATACCATATTTCCGCGTCCTTTTGATTTTTCTTTTCCTTTTTCCTTAAAGACTTTTCTCGGTCCTTACAAACCTCGACAACTTTGCTTATGTGACTAGCCAAAGGTACATCAAATTGGGAGAGAAGCAGTATCGTTTCTAAAAAGTTACCGTGATCAATGTTCTGGTTTTCAAGGTAAAGACCTGATTCACTACGATGTCCTCTGTACGGCAGTGCTTGTTTCCTAAAAATCTGATCACAGCTAATATGCGCTTGAATGTTTTCCATAACTTGTTTCCGTCTCAATTTAACGCCTTCCTTTGCCAGCAAAGATTCTATATCTCTTTCCTCTTCAGCACTGAAAAATGCCAGAACTGCTACATTGTGTGACTTTGACGCCTCGTGTTCAGAAATTCTTTGATAAATGTGGGAAAACTTCGTAAAGCCAGTTGAAAATGCTGTTTTTGAGTTGGAAAAGGCCTAACAAACTTTGCAATAAACAGCCTTAACTTCTTTGTTCTCAACTTTCACTGTCAGCCAATTTCGAAAAACTCTGTTCTCAGAGATTTTACTTTTGGATCAAATGTCAGAAAATTAACATCTTTGAACGTTGGCTGCATTGCTGTAGAACGTGGTAGCTGCATTCTTCTGGCAAGGGGTGCAGTTGCAGATATTTTGGAATGGTTCTTGTTCTTGATTTTCTACATTTTCCACCTGCGTATCCTCATTCACTTGATGAAGTTCACTTTCTGTTTCTAGGTTATAAATTTCTTCTCTTCCTTCGTTTTCTGTTTGTGGATCTACTCCTACTGTGCTATCTTGACTTTCTTGTGAGTGAAGGGGTTCTTCCGAAGAATCTGGTTAGATACTGAAAAAGTGTGTGATTGCTGATTTAGCAGTTTCGCGTAGCATTTTCTTATTGGACTCGTCGCATTTTTGAGCACCAGACTTGTATTTCCTCTTGCGTGAGCTATCCATTCTGAAAAAAGAACATATGTGTATAGATTTCAGTTTTCTTTTTCCGTTATTTCCAAAGTAATGGAACATCACTTGGGGCCCACCGTGAAATTTCCCGGTATACCGGTAGGCCAGTCCGCCACTGCCCACAACTATTATCTGATTCGCCGACAAGGATAACTCTGTGTACTAATTAAATACAATGTTGTTATTCATGTAAAAGAATCAAATCAGTTGGCTTTGGCTTTCACCTAACGTCTTTTGCCGCGTAGAGAGAGTTAAAATTTGTAACTCATGCCTTACTGCATCTGAAAAGGAAATTAAGAAAAATAACATAATTAGAAAAAATACTTTTAAACTAAAGGGGTTGAAAACATACAGTACGTCCATTTACTACAAATGACAAGAAAATGCCCCCCAGTGACACAGCGGTATGTCTGCGGACTTACAACGCTAGAATCCGGGTTTCGATACCCGTGGTGAGCAGAGCACAGATAGCCCATTGTGTAGCTTTGTGCTTAATTACAAACAAACAAACAGTCAAGAAAATAAATAAATAAATAAAGACAACATCATGAAACTAGATCTGAAAGTTAATTGGATCAACAAAAATAATCTGAAATAATATACTAGTACAATTTCGATACATGAATAAAAAAACAATTAAATTTAACCAAACATAGGTAGATTTTACAACCTGTGACGTTTAATGCTGTATTCTCATGTAATATGATCAATATAACACAAACTTTGAAAGTTAATTTAACAAACGCATATTGGTAGCGCAATGGTTAAGATGTTTGTATCGGGATCGAATCTAGGGTGCACATGCTATCTTAGTCTGTGCGATAACATGTGTGTTGCGACAAGGCATCCACATGTTTAGTATGGAGGGAGAGGGGCCTAGAAAATTACACTATGCTATTTGTAATCTAGCATGAAACTTTAAACTAGATATACACAGACAAAACTTAAATAAACTAAACTGAAATAACCTTTGACATATACGACTAGATCACATTATTAATATTTTACAATATAGAAGTACACATTAAAATATCTAAAACACTTGATATTTACATGCTGAACTGCCAATAATTTAAGACAATGGTAGAGGGTAGTTCTTCTGTTGAATTGTAGCGCTCCATTGACGTTTTTCTCGAGATTTCATTCATTCACACTAGGTTCTTTTTCATTTGAGCTAGCTTATTGTTGGCAATGCTAAATTCTCTAGTCAACTGCCCTGGGGTCTCCTTAGTCCTGGTTGCAATTTTCCTCTATGAGTATGAATACCCAGGCTTCCACCCAGCAGACAGTTTTTGTCTTGGTAGCATTTTAATGAATTGGTACTGCCTTTAGATCAAAATATACTAGGATTCTGGTGAGTGGCTCCACTGGTAGTTCATATTTCTTCAGATCCAGCTATGGTGATCACAGACAATGATGACACAGATGTGGTGACTGTTAATGCCTGTGTTGGCATTCCAGTAGCTGCCTTCTTGTTTTTTTTTCTGGCCTTTTCCTTGGCTACCAGGTGGGAGGTGTTACATATTAGAATTTCTAATAGTCCGAAGCTGAGTTAACTGATAATTTATGTTTAGTAGTTAAATTGTACTTTGGATTTAGTATTTAAATATATACCGATATTTTAATCGATTTACGATATTTGCCAACAAGATTGATACACACCGTTTTTGTTTTTAACTCAAATACGTTTTAATGTACACACAACAATACAAATTACAGTAACAATTATTACAAAGAGTTATTACAAACAAAGATTTATAAACCAAAGTTTCGCAAACTTACAAACAATTTAAAGTCTTCTTTCTAGTCTGGAACTTCTTTGATACCTTATCGAGGGTTCACGATGAGCTAATTAATTACGAGATGATATAGGTACGATTCGCTTAAAGGGAAGCTTTGTCCTTTGCCACACACGCTGAGTTGAAGTTAGGTAATGTTTTCGTAAAAGTATTAATGTCTGATGTGAATCCACTGAAGTTAAAAGGTTTCTAATGTTCGAAATTTATAAATATTCCTGTCAAATATCTGAAGTTTCCGATTAATAAGTAGTTATAAC